AGTGTGATTAGGTTCAGGTGTGTAGCTTTACAGTTATCTTAGTGTGTAATCAAGGGTGGAATGAGACTTTCTGGTCTGTAAACTATTGCTTTAAGCAGCAATGACAACTGTCTGTTTTTTTTGTGTGACAAGTGAGCTGTCAATCACAGCCCAGACCACGCCCAACTCTAAGCCCCCCTTCTTGTCCCTTGGTCCTCCAGGCAACGCCCTTTTAAGAGAACATTTTCAAATCTTCATGTGGGTGGAGTAAGGCTGGGCACAGGTGTTTAGTCGCTCTTTAACAAACCCCCCTGTTCAAATGCCATTAGAGCTTACTTCCAAACGTAAATGCAATGAGTTTGCTAATTTTTTCAATGACAAGGTTCAAGGCATCAAAAACGCCATTGTCTCCAATCCACAGATAACCATCCAACAGCCAGAAAGGCTATTTGAGCTAACTCACTTTGCACCTGTAAATGATAAAACTGTCCAAGAGATAATCTCCAGTTTGAGCTCCTCCACATGCAGCTTGGATGTACTACCCACTAGATTTCTGAAGTCTGTTCTGAGCAGTCTGTTACCTTCACTCACACAGATAGTAAACATGTCCCTTCATTCTGGAATATTCCCAAAGGCCCTGAAAACGGCAGTCATCAGGCCCCTGCTAAAAAAGAGCAGTCTCGATGCTACGGTACTTAACAACTATCGTCCCATCTCAAATCTGCCATTTATGGGGAAAGTCCTTGAGAAAGTTGTCTACCTACAGCTTACTAGATTTCTTATAATCAACAACTCATTTGATATGTTTCAGTCCGGCTTTAGACCCCACCACAGCACTGAGACTGCTCTTGTTAAGGTTACAAACGATATCCGGCTGAACACTGATGCAGGCAAAGTCTCAATCTTAATCTTGTTAGATCTAAGTGCTGCCTTTGACACCGTCGACCATGAGATCCTCTTACAGAGACTAGAGGACTGGGTTGGAGTCGCTGGCACCGCCCTAAGTTGGTTTAGGTCTTACCTTGAGGACAGGAAGTACTTTGTGGAGATTGGAAACTGCGTCTCAGATCACATGGCCCTGACCTGTGGAGTACCACAGGGGTCGATCCTGGGACCTCTTCTGTTCAATCTCTACATGCTGCCGTTAGGTCAGTTAATACGCAGAAACGAAGTTTCCTATCATAACTATGCAGACGACACTCAGATCTATGTCTCACTGACTGCAGGAGAACATGGACCAGTGGTCTCACTCCTTCACTGTATCCAACAGATCAGTGAGTGGATGCAAAACAACTTCCTTCAGCTAAACGCAGACAAAACTGAAATGATTGTCTTTGGTCCCCAGAAACAAAGAGAGAGCGTCATCTGTCACCTACAGTCTCTCTCCCTAAAACCTTCAAACAAGGTCAGAAATCTAGGGGTAATACTGGACTCAGACTTAAATTTTAATAGCCACATCAAATCAGTAACATCAGCAGCTTTTTACCATCTAAAAAACATTGCCAGGATCAAAAACATATTGTCTAAAGCAGACCTGGAGATTCTTATCCATGCATTTGTCTCCAGTAGGTTAGACTACTGCAATGGCCTGCTCACAGGTCTGTCCAAACAGGCTGTAAAACAGCTGCAGTACATTCAAAATGCAGCAGCTCGAGTCTTGACAAGAACCAGGAAGTACGACCATATTAGTCCAGTCCTCAGGTCTCTGCACTGGCTTCCTGTGGCTCAGAGAATAGACTTTAAAACAGCTCTGCTTGTGTACAAGTCTCTCCATGGCCTCGCACCAAAATATATTAGTGACATGTTAGTACCATACGAACCAGCCCGGACTCTGAGGAGCACAGGGACTGGACTCCTGTTAGTGCCCAGAGTCAGAACTAAACATGGGGAGGCTGCTTTTCAGATTCATGCTGCTAAAATCTGGAACAGTCTTCCTGAAGATGTGAGACAGGCCTCCTCTCTGACAATGTTTAAAACCAGGTTAAAGACAGTTCTGTTTAGCTGTGCATACAACTGAGGGATTTTATATTTGTATCTTTCTTTTTAATGTTCTGTGATTATTTATGATTTTAATGCTTTCTTGTTTTGTTCAGCACTTTGAATTGCCTTGTGTATGAATTGTGCTATATAAATAAACTTGCCTTGCCTTGCCTTGCCTAAGTTATTTGGATTTTATTGATAACCTTATAAAGAGTCAGAGGTTTACACCATGTGCAGATATTTGGTAGAATTAGCGAATCAGGGTGATTAAAGGAGCTATACCCAATTCTGCAAGGTTTTTTTTCAGTTAGAATGATCAGCACCGCTACCACTGCTCTCATGCACTTGCAGAGAGGGACTCGGCCGCGCTCTGACCAATCAGAGCTGCTGATCAGAGCAGAGCCATTACCGAGCCAGAGCCGAGACAATCGAGCAGAGTTTGTGGCACTTAAGTGTGGATTTATAGAAAACCGTGAATCCTGCAGGTCACTCCAACGATGATCTTATTTTATCCTTTTTTCACTTTAGTTCCCTCTTCTCTTCCTGACTTTTGCGTCTTTCGCGCTGTTTTGCTCTGTATGCAGTTACAGCCACAGTCACTTTCTGCGTTGATCCTCCTTCGGCTGCCATGCTCTTCTTATTTACTTGCGCTGGGCACGCACTTGAGGAGGCGGCCTGTTTGCAACATTACCGGCCCTCAAGTGTCAACTCAGCACTTTGCTCGGTCTCAAATCATATACGCTGATTCAATTAGCTAATTTTTTCAATCAAATAACAATTTTGAATACAACTTGTAAGTAGTAATACGCATTTTTATGAACACATTAGACAATAAATCAGGTATAGCTCCTTTAAATGGCATCAAAACAAAGGGAAACAATAAAACATTTTAGGAATGACAACAATACAAATTTGAAATATGGAAACAAATATATACATACAAGAGATAAAATAAGATAGACCTTTATTCATCCTACAGTGGGGACATTTCAAAGACATCTTTGTGCACATTACAGTTGAATATAAAAAGGAGGAAATAATACTCAGGTTGCCTACAGATGCATAAATCATGCATACATTTGTAATAATGATATCGCACACAATTGTCCCTTCAGTTTTTTTACATACACAATGAAAGAGGAAAACGGATAGGAAAGGAAAAGCGAGAAGAGCGGGTGAGATTTATTCGAATAGAATAGTTTTGGATGCATCCCAAAAGTCTTGAGAGAGGGTGACGCGTTGCACTGCTGCGTTGTGATTTGAATGAACGGACCAATGAGCTGCACGTAAGACCCGTCACGTACTGAGCGTTGTCCAATCAGCGCACGCGGCACTTGTTTGCCTTGTCTTTTGAATCCAGCTCCTGCTCACGCTCCCACTGACGCCTCTGTGGAGCTAATATCTGTCAACAAACTCCAGGAGACCAGAGTTTATGCCATTTGCGTCTTCACACATCTCCGGCCATGCATTCTATTTGGACTGCGAAGTGACCGGAACAAGGATGGCGGCTAGTTTGTGAAGGATTTTGGGAAGAAAAACTCGAATTTGCCCGAACTGCGAGCTAGCTTAGCCGAGTTAGCCCTGAAGCTAGTTCACTTTGACTGTCTGGGGTGAGGCCCGTTTAGTTTCGTTAAATCTCTCAGTAAGATTGGGTAAGTTAAACATTTGTGTTTCCTAATATGCACAGATACTCTCCAGCTAACTCTCTTAACTGTTATCTGTTAAACTTAGCAATTGTAATGCTGTCGTGTTTGTTGCCAATTCAAAGCTGTCTTTTTTTTTTGCTATCTACACTCCACAGTTTATATATAGGCAGTAAATGTAAAAAAAAATATGGCTGAACATAAAGCTCTTTTTCTGGTTTCATTAAACTTACAACGTAGTTCACACATATAGTCTCCACTCAATGTATTTCTGTGCGATAAATATAGTATTTTAGTGGTGTAAAGTCAATGCACAATGGTGCAATGGTGGAAGTAAATATTTAAAAGAATAGACAAAATACAAATAGGAATTATTTTATATTAAATCATGAATGATCCATGTCAAATTTTTCAAAAAAGACAAGTCAATGTAAATGAGTATCTCTTCTAGCAATCTTTCCATTAGCATTGGCAGCTTCTTGCAAAATATTAGAAATATAAATTCATAATATACACTGCACCTCATACAGGTGTATTTAGGTACAATCATCTAAATTTTTCCTGGAATGGCTAACTTTGGCCTCCAATACATTGGAAACAAATAAGAGACCTATCACATCACTCATGTATAATATACAATCACATATAACATACCTACTGAGGGACATTCGAGCAAAGCGATAACGTCTATGCCTACATGCAGGTAGCAGTTGCTCTGTATTTGCTATTGTGATCTAATCTAAGCCTTGTAAACAGTACCCTGATTAACAATACTATACAATATTTTCGGGAAACCCAAGTTGCAGCAATGGCAATGCTTTGTAGTTTATTATCGCCTTTTTCTTTTCTATTTAGGCAGTTTAATGACTCAGATATCCTCAAAACAGTTGATTGACAATATATGGCTGCAGTCTACTTTAAAGTTGTACACACTAATGAACGAACAAAAAACATTAAATGACATTCAAAGCTATGCAACAAATATAGTAGTTATTTATTTACTGACTCCATTCCATTTTAATTGTATAGCACATTATTATACCCAGGTTCATGCTGCACACAGATAACGATACAATAGAATATCTCTATGTGCAGCACTTTCAATCTGCCTGTGATTCCTCCAGACATATTGAATGATGCGTCAATACAGAAATTATTATGACAGGCCTCAACAATTGTATACTTTTCTCCTCCCAAAACTTTCTCCTGTGACTCAGGGTTGCCTGGGTTCACATGCAGGTGTATTGTCAGGCTGCTGCAGAGCTTGTATTTGAAGTGCTTTGACAGTTGTCGCCCTTCTTTTCCCTCCTCTCCTCTGTCTCCTTGCTGCAGTGCTGTGTCTCCCGGCCTGTAACTTTTGATAGCTTGGACAGTTGGGAGCGCGCCGGGGTCGGAGCCATGGCTGACAGCAGTATCGTGACTTTAGGGATGGCCCGGAGTCTGCTGGTGGATTGTTCGGTCTATGACTCGCGCATCGCTGAAACCACCAGGGATCACGCGTTTCTGGGCATGGCCTGTGAAGATGCAGAAGGTGAACTGCTCTTGACTTTTCCATAGGTTGAAATATTCAAACCTCGCAGACTGCATCACGCAATAGTCATTATTTTAGAATGACCAACACCAGAGATGGGGGAAATCTCAGATTCTTAGATCAGCCGTGATTCCGCGGTGGAAGAATCGAGAACAATTCACAAACATCCAAAATTCCAATTATTTTAATATGCCAATATTCTGCACTTTTGAGAAGGACACAACTTACAACACTCGTACACGTTGACTCTCAATTGATTGCAAAGAGTACCATTATTTATTATTGTAAATGCACTTACTGTGTCACTAGTAACAAATATGCCTTATTCACACTAATATGACCACATTTTTCCAAGTAGCTCTCTGCCTTTATAGTCTTGAGAAAGTAGCTCTCTGGGTGAAAAAGGTTGGAGACACCTGCTTTAGACCCTTCTGGCCGTATTATTTGTAACTAACACGAAACACTAAAAGCAGAAAAAAGCACATTGAGCAGTATACTAAAGTTCAAATGTTCATGTACTCTCATTCCAATGGATATTTTCATAAAGGTAATAAAATATAATGAAAATGTATTTAACTTTGGAAATGTAGAAAAAAGTGGATAATTTACATATATTACAACGGCCCCAATAATAGTTTTATAATCAAATCGCTGCCTGAATTGTAATCGTAATCGGATCGCGAGGTGCCCCAAGATTCCAACTCTTAGCCAACACCCATCCTATTGCTCACAGTATTGTAAAATAGCTCCTAGTATTGTGTTTATGATGACAATAACAAAAAATGTATAATTTAAGTGTTTCCCAGAGGATTGGAATCAATGTGTGGGGGGGAAGAAGAATTTCTACAAATCACAAACCGTACACAACTTTAATACATTAAAGTTAACACCCTACACAAAACTGTAGGAACTTTAGAACAGCTGTACAAATTTTGTTTATATTTTGTAATTTATAAAACTGGTTGAAGCTTGAAAATATTATAACCAAATTAATAACATAACTCAGACTGTTCAGCTCTGTTTCAGACTGATACCTCGGCCCGTTCATTTTTGCCTTCTTGGCGGCCCAGGCGTGTTTATTTTTGTTTTGTTACGTTTTTTACAGTTTATACTGTAGAGGATCAGGATGTCTGCAGTTTCAACAATAAAATACAGTGCAATAGTCTACATTACAAGAGAGTAATAAACATGTCTCAGTGAGGGAGGTGGACACAGACAACACTATTGTTTGTTATAGGGATGAGAATTGGTCAAACAAATCTGAAATGCATAATGTCAGCCTTTGGCTGTCACTAAATCTGTTTTATTTGTTCACAATAGGGGTGGGAACCTAAGGGTACCTCACAATATGATTTACGATACAAAGCTCACGATAACGATTTTATCACGATATGACGATTATTGATATATTATATATATAGAAATTTACAATTTGCCAATTTATGGCATAAATAAGAGAAAAAATACACTTTATTTCATGATGAATGGAATGGAGATTCTTTTTTTTTTTCAAAATCGATATTGATACTTGGCAAATGCATATCGATAATCGAATCGCGATATATCGAAAAATCGATATATCGTCACACCCCTAGTTCAGGGGTGGCACCGCCACAGATTCGCCTATGTGTGGGAAACACTGAATTTGCTTTTGTCAGTCACCAGGCCATTTACCGAAGTATTAATGGATCATGACTTACAGTAAAATGCTGGTCCAAATCAAATTCACTTCAGGAACATCAATACCTCGTTTGGTAATATTTGGGGCACAGACATTTTTCTTATACACAATTTTCAAGTTGAGAAGCAACTATAGCAGCTGGAAACAGTTGTTGAATCCCACACAAGGTATGATGTACCTGCTGAATCCTTGAGCCCTTGTGCTGTGGCAGCTTGTTGACCTGACGGAACTGGCTCCGCTCGTTTCTCGTGTTTCCTGTATCTCACAGGCCGCCCCCCACCATCTATCCTGTAGCAATCAAACCAAATTCAAACCAAAGCATCTGACTTAAAAGCTGCAGGGGCTTAATTACAAATGTTTTTTTAAGTTGTTGTGCTCTGCCATGTCCAATGTTGTTGGTTAGCACTCAACTTTCACATTTCAATGACGTGTGTGTGTGTGTGTGTGTGTGTGTGTGTGTGTGTGTGTGTGTGTGTGTGTGTGTGTGTGTGTGTGTGTGTGTGTGTGTGTGTGTGTGTGTGTGTGTGTGTGTGTGTGTGTGTGTGTGTGTGTGTGTGTGTGTGTGTGTGTGTGTGTGTGTGTGTGTGTGTGTGTTTGTTTTCTTTCAGAGATACTCCTTCCTAAAGTGGAGACCAGGGTGGTTCTGGTGGGAGATGCTGGAAGGGACGCAACGCTGGTCAAAGCTGTTCAGGTAAATCCTGCTTCCTGCTCTGCTGTGCTCTGTGCTGCTTCCCATTACCACGACCCGTCTGTGCCCCAGGACTGTCAGCGGTGTGCCTGAAATACTGACACAGACTCGCTGAGATAAAACTCTGGGTCAGAAAGTGTTTTATCATCTGTTTTTTGTTTTTGTTTCTTATTACTTCATTGCGTATGCAGGATGAAATGTCAGTAAAAGGTCAACACTTCTAAAGGAATGAAAACTAATTAAGATTAGGAGATCCTTTATTTGCCCCACAGTGGTGAAATTTCAACGGTTCATCACAAGTTGGTACAGAAGAGCACACAACACAAGTGAATATTTACTATATACTTGTCGGGTATTGTGATGCAACACTGGATTTTCTACACTGTGGGTTAAATAAAGGTTCTCTTAATCTTAATTAGTTGGCATTCCATCCTGAAGGAGTGGGTATTGATAATTTTTTTTTTTTACTTCGGCCTTCTCCCTTTGAGCTCTAGATAGCACTTACACAAACATGGCCATTTTATTTGTATCAACTGTATGTTTTGCCCTGAGCTCAAATAAACAATCTGAACAGAACAAAAAAAAAGGCCAACACTAGTCCCATTGTTTTTATATAGTGATTGTAAAAGAATATTAGGCCCCTGGAAACTGACCATAAATCCCGCTCTGTGTGTGTGTTAGTGTGTATACAATTACTTATTGGAAGTTGTAGGTTGTTCTCTGCTCACCCAAAATCTGCAAGAATTCATTTGCATCTGCTGCACATATTACATTCTGAGGTATTTGGACAAACCCATTCACTTTGGGGTATTTTCAAGAGTCGTGGCTCGTTTCAGAGACCAAAATTGTAATGTAACCGTACATGTGTCAATTATGCTGTAGTGAATTGTTTTGGTGCAACCTTTTTTGGAGTGTTCTTTTCTTTTCTATCCCTAAGCGTTCTGTTCAATCAATCTCTTGGTGTTCTGTTTGCTTGCAAAAAATCTTGCACACAATGTAATGGTTTTGATTGTTGATTTTCACCTGTCTCTCTTAAAACTTTTTAAAGCCCCACTAAGGCAGGCATGTAAAACTCAGGCCCTTAGGCAAAATTTGGCCTGCAAGACCATTTTTAGTGTCCCTAAAATGATTTTCAAATATTTCTTGCAGCGTGGATGGTATTGAGCTGCTATCTAACCTGTCATACATCGTGGCTCCATTTTGAGGTAGCATTTTGATAGCTAAATGTTTTGAGGATTTGCTTGGGTGGAACATTTTGAGAATGAGGTATACTTTGATTTCGGACCTCATTACACCTGCCTTACTTGTTGTTTCTGACTCTGCAGAAAGAACACATTTGTTTTCTTTTTAGCTAAATAGACCCTAACCCTCATTATATTAATATGAATAAAATGTGTCACCTGACACAATAAGTAAATAGATACAGGGCACTTTAAATTGTATCCCATTCAATATATTTCAAGGTGATATGGTTCAGTAAAACATAAAGGCTTTTGGCCCCTAATCAACTCAATTGATTTTGAGGATTGGGGGACGAAGTGTAATCCACATGGAACTGATCATTATAGCACTTTCAAAAGGATGATACATTGAATTAAAGTGAACATAATACAGTTGAAGAGATGCCAACACTATACAGTATAAGTGGAAAATGTAAAATATTTGACGATGAATGAAAATATCTAATGTCACAAAGTCAATGTGATGGTTGTGATCTATATCGGCAATCCAAATCGGATGTGGACATCCCTAATGTTAATATTATGGACCCTTTAAGGCTACTTTAGACATTTATAAATCAAGCTATAGACAAGAAAAAGAAAAAAAAACTGAACAGTCTCCTCATACAGGTGGTGGCAAGCTGTCGGAGAGTACATTTGTTTTGTACGTATGCAGCCATCATGGTCTGCTCGGGGCTCAGCGTAGCTCTGACTGTGGATGGGGCCATGTTGTGAAGGTGATTTGGAGGTGTGGTTCTCCTCTTACTAAGTGCAGTTACTCTGCGTCCCCTGCTGCGTCTCCCTTGGGCGCTGTCACTCTCAAGGCTTCCTGCTAAATTATCTGTTTGTGCATGCCAATCTTTAGGCCTGTCATTGTATGTCAGACATATGGCCAAACAAATGTGAAACTGTGCAACTTCTGACTGGGTCCATCTACCTTTTATAAGCACAACTTTATCTGTGTCAAATATAGAAGAAATTCTGTGTTCTATACCCTAGGGATGTCCCAATTGGGCAGATATTTCCATGGTTTATGACTGATCGGGATTGGCTAAACTGCTGTTCTTTACAGCTGTTGTGAAGTTCATGTGGCTACTAGTTAAATCATGTCAAATGTGTGGCAGTATTTCTCATTAGAAATCGAGGACAGCACAAAAGCAACATGCAAAGTATGTTGATTGGGAGAGGTGAGATCAGCGGATCTACATTCAACACACAATACACACATCTGATTTGGCATTTGCGGACTAAACACGAAACGGAGCATACGGTGTTGTGTAAATCTACCGAAGAATGTTCAGCTAAGTTTTACTAGACATTTTAGTTCAAATGCCTGTCGCAGGTCTTTACTCGGCTTTACTGCACACTGGTGTGATCCCTCAACGTATGATTTAAAGCGTACCGTATTGAATGCCTGTCAGTCCCATACAGCAGACCGTGTTTAACACTGTTTAGTGAATATTTGATAGCTCTTTTATAGCTTTGTTACTGTACCAAGATAGTGTTTTATTTCTTTCTTTTGCCCAAAAGAATAAACTGAGGCTGATTATCTTTGATTTTTCATTACAGCAATTTCTTGCTGTACGTAGCAATGTAATCAGTCTTGTAAAATATCGAGTTTACTCGCGTTATATAAATTACCATGCCAATGATGAAAAGAATTGGATTGGGACTCAAAATGTGATTGGTTTGAAGTTTTAGCAATCTGATTAGGATCGAGTAAAAAAAAAAAGGGAATTTTACATGGCCATTTTTGCAATATAGCCTCAAGTTTTATCAGTCAAACTTGGACTAAAGTGTTTTAATTGTTGTTGTTTTTTTTTTTTTACCAACTAATGGATTCATTAAAAGTGTATTTGTTCCATTAAAATCAATTGTGATTTATTATTTGGTTTAATTACAAGAGTATTTGGACAAGCTTATTCAGGTGTATAACATTTCTCAAGGACACCCAAGCAATGCTTAACACAGTCCTTGACGTTTTAATGTACAATTATAAAATACAATTCAGAGCGTTTGGCAAGAATCTGAATGGAATATAGTGTGTTTTTGAAAGAACTTTGTATTTTTACTAGCCACTCTGAAAAGTCCATTACAGGAACGTATCATGATATTTTTTGACATTGAGACGTCTCCTACGACTGAGATAATCCACTTTTCCTTTACAGGTCTTTCTAAACTTGCCTCTGTACCGTGTGCAGGCCGTGTGCGCGGCCTGGATGTCGCCTGATCCCATTTTTAGATAACACTGTGTGACATTGACTTGTTGCTGGTTGGTTTTCTCAGGCCATCAGAGTTATCGAAGTACCAGTGGTAAAGATAAGGGATGCAGAGACTGGAGCGGAGGAAAAAATGATGATAAAATCTATTGTCAATATGGTACAGTAGAACATGTGCTTCTAAATGTGTCTGGGGTTCTAATTCACGTTTCTTGTCTGCTAAAGTCACGCTGCATGGCCAATCTGAGGTGATTTTGTGTCGGGATTTTATCAAAACTATTTGGAACTTCTCACACTAGGGCTGAATAATTGTATTGATGTTTTTGCCATCCGGTTCTTGCCGTACATTTAATTCTGACCACATTTTGATTTAGGACTTGCAAAAGTCCATGCCTTAATCAGAACAAGACTGTAGAGATCAAAATATGATGGGTAGTAAGTGATGTATAGAAAACAGAGTGTCTTGTATTATTCTGATTTAGACGAATAATGTAAGTTTCAAGATGTTTATAAAGGTTAGCAAATTGTTCAGCCCTAGTCCACACTAACAGACTTACATTTAAATTTTGATCTTAAAGTGCCATCTTCTTGCAAGTCCAACTTCTTGGCAACCGTAGTTCTGGAAGCAATCTCTGGTGAAGCGTTGCTTGCAAACAGATTCTTTGAGGATTTCAGATGCAGATCCTGTGAAAAGTCCTGCCACATTTGCAACATTGCTTTGTCACATATTTACACCCGTAAACTAGGCATGCACCGATATGAACATTTTGGCCGATTTCAACATCCAATTTTTCTGTTATGGTCCATGACCAATATTTGCCGATATCAATATGTGCTTTAAAAAAAAAAAAAAACAATCTGAGATGATAAAAGTTTGTACAAACTTAATTTCTTCCTCTATTTTATGAATGTCTTTTATTTCCAAATACCAAGGTTGCAGGGCTACCATGAAACATATGCTTTTACCACTTATCAAGTATGCCAGTTTTTTTAGCGAAAACTATTTCCTGCCGTGTATGCCGTGTACAGTTTGAATGAGTCCAATTTTTGCTACAATGAGGATGATTAAGCGTCAGATTTGAGGCATTTTTCAAAAAAATAGACACCCGTTAGAAAAATACATTTTAGAAAAATATGGGGAGATTTACTTCCTGCGCCTCAGAGTACTTTCGCGCTGCTGCATGACGTCAGCTGCAACCCAGCAATACACACGGTTAAAAAAATGATGAACATTGGCCGATATTGATATTTATACCGTTATAATGTCTATCCCTACTGTAAACACATGTTCTCAAAGGTGACATGATGCCAACACTTTGAGTCGGTGACAGAAACAACAGAGCTTGAAGTGAAGCGAGCAGACTAGTAATACTCCATGACTGTGATACTCGTGGGACTTGGGAGAAAGGCTGTGTGCGCTGATTCAGACACGTTTGTGGGCGTGATTTCTGTTTTGATTTCTCCTGTCAATTTCTGCTAAGCAGTGCCATGTCACAAAGTGGTGCCACGTCACAAAGTGAACCGATGGGTTCAGCTCGCTCTCGAGAATTAAAGAGAAAGATTCCTCTCCAACTACAGCTTGAGAGAATTAATGAAAAAACTACTTAATAAGGCATGTGTATGAAGGCCCAATAGCACTGTCTTTAATTATGGTTAAAGCATAGAAAAGTCGAAAAGAGTAATATAGAACCAGGCACTTACAGTTCTATTGAGTAAAAAGGTCCAGTCCTTGATATTCAATCAATGTCATCATTGAGTCTTTTGAGACTGATGCAACATGAAACCATTTGGAAACCTGCAAGCACTCTGTGACCATAAGAACCAGCTTTTTATACAGGAATTGTGACACCTTTTAAAATGGACAAATTCTCGGAAAAAGGCTAATAATCAAAACATTTCTAAAATGCAGAATAAATGTAAATGGATGTTTTACAAAATTTAGTAATTCCTCTTTTCAAAACAAATTTGATGCCCAACATTAAAACTGCCCTTTTTAAGAGTCAAAGCAATTATTCTTGATTGAGGTACAACAAGCTTGTAGCCCATTCTCTGCTTGGCCTGCATTCAATTTAATATTTTGCTTTGAACTAAAACATGTCATGTGCATAAATGTACTTGACTTTATAGACTAAAATGATTTATAGAGCTCTGGCAGGAGCTCTTCCCATAAAACCGTTTACATTAAGAAGTGTAGAGAAAGTGTCATCTTCATAAGTATAAAGTAGGACCAACGCAGGGTGTAAAATAAGGCAATAAAGAGTATTTCATTCAAAATGGGTTTCGTCTTTTGTTGGTTCCAGACCCAAAATCATAAAACAGGTTCACTAGTTGCCTTTGGTTCCCTTGGGACAGATAAGTGTCAAATCATGGGTGTTAAGATTATAGTCAATATTATCGTAATTAATTAACAAACAATTCTAAACTCAACATGTCTTGATAATTAATTACATATTAGTATTATCTACATGATGGAAATGTGTTAGTAAAAGCATTAGTGTATTCTTTTATCTGGATTGTTTCCTGAATCTCTCATTCTCAATTCTGCTGATGCATGGATCATTTTTTGTCAACTGCTAATTTGATTGACCAAGACCCCATTAATCGAAAGGGGCACTACAGCCCTGTTCTTTATAAGGCAGTTTTTTCTACGTACGTAATGGGAAGAACCGTTAAAAATGCTTAGTCACGAGAACCGTGACCTCAGCTCCAACTTCCAATGTAACAAAACTAAATACAGATTTTCTTAACTCTAGGCTCTCGGTCACTTGGTATGAAGACATCATTCTATTAATAAACAATTAAACCCAGTGAAAATGAAAGACTATCCACACTACTCATATTCTCTCTGCTCTTCCCATAAAAACACAAAATGTATTTACCATTGACTGCCTTTTGTGTAATTACTTTGCTGTCCTAACATGAATAATAAAATGTCCTGCTCTAACACGCTGGTGTCTCTAGGCTGTCTTGTTATTTTTATTTATTCTGTATTTTATATTTAGTTTCGCACATCAGTCCTTCATGCTCCGCTGGATAACTCTTCATTTCTCTCTTGCAGGACATCAATGCCCCCTGCATAATTACCGACAGTGTCCAGGAATTTGGCGACGGCGAGAACACAGATTTTGAGACGGTTTTTGTGTTGACACACTTTGATTGTCCAGACTACACCTACCTCTACAAACGGGACAACCGCATCGTGGGGCCCCCCGTGGTGATGCACTGTGCTGCCAAGCAAGAAGTATGTTTTTTATTCACAGCACTCGAGTCCAGAGATTTTCAATACAAATCAAACCAGCTAGCCCCAGTTACTGTTTGGATATGCATAGGAAAAGTTATGAGCGTCTCGGCACAGTTTGAGGTGTATAAAAAGGCAGCAGCTTGGTACAGCCAAGTTTATTTGTATAGCACCGTTTAGACACACGGCAACTCCCAAGTGCTTAACAAATCAAGATAGAAACATGTTTCAAAAAGGTTTGGAAGGGAAAAACCCCAGTTCTGGTTCGTTTGAAAGACGAGTTAGATGAATTACCTTGTACACATGTTTCGGGTACAGAGCTGCAAGACATCCTCTGTATGTAAAAAAAAAATAAAATAAAGACAGGTCGTTGCATATTATGTCACTCCCGCTTTAAATTAAGACAGCCATTAGATTACTACATGATGGGTAAGATTACTACTACTACTACTGTTTTATCCTCATCTATGTTGGCAAATTCAACGTTTGTGTAAAGTCTTCTGAGATAACTACTGTTGTGATTTAGGGCTATACGAGAATACATTGAATTGAACTACAAAATGAATGCAAAAAACCTTAAATGTCAAGTAGACTAATGCAGTTCTCGTACCTTCCATCTTGAATTATTTTTCTTCTGTCAGCCGCTGCTGTTCTCCTGCCGCCCGCTCTACTCCACCACGATGCTCAATCTGTCGCTGTGTTTCACCGGCTTCAGGAACAAGGAGGAAATGGTCAGTGCACTCAAGCATTCGGCCTCTAATAACATTGGAAACGTGCCCAGACCCAAAGCCACCATAATGAGAAAATGATGTTCTTTAGAAAATAAGTTCTCCCCATGCTGCTCTTAAAAATGGATGACAAAAGATTTTCATAATCCAAAATGCTGTTAGATTCGATCAAAGTTATCCATCCTTTCTCTTACAGAAAAACTTGGTGAATCTGGTGCATCACATGGGAGGTACCATACGAAAGGACTTCAGCACCAAGGTCACACATCTGATTGCTTACTCCACCCATGGAGAGAAATACAGGGTGAGTATTATTAATTTGGATGCACATTTTATATCTGATATTTTTTTTCTTGTTCTAACTGTTCAATATTTTAAAAAAAAAACATTCAATTTTTAAGGGAAGGGTTTTGCCTGAAGTCCCACCTCTTGTTCAGTTGATGTTGGAAGTTTTATTTCGATCCTCTTGTCTTTTGTCTAGTGTAATGCCACCCATCTAATGTCTTTCACTCTTTTCAGCAACCCTCAGATGTTTTCCGCACTTGTTGTTGCTTCTACTATTTTTGTAGGTAATGCAATTGTAAAACAATGTAAGCCCTCTCCATTAGGGTGTGTAAAAAAAAAAAAAGGCTTATTTTATTTGGCACAAACATAATGCACCTTTGTCTGCTATATGACAAAATCACAAAAATATAACAGATTCACAATAGAAAAAAGTAGAGTAAAAATGGTGGAAGTGATTCGCTGGCTGTGTGTATAAGTCAATATGAATTACTCAAACATGCATTAATCTCTAAGTGAGGATGTGATTATGGCTTAAACCACTATAATGCAGTCAAAGCTGTTAAGCCAATGTGTCCCCTTTTTTAAACTCTATATAAAATTGCCTTTACATTCTTCACACACATGAAGACGTCCAGGCACCGCAAAAAACGCTCTTAGATCTTCCGAGGCCGCCGTTTGAAATGCCAAACTCTGACTCAGTTAAGCGTTGCGTCACCTCACCCGTCTCCCATCAGATTTGTCTCCAGTGTTCCTCCCCTCCACCTGCCCTTTACTGCTCAAAGTCTTTGTGTTGTCGCTGTTTTGTTCTGCTGCAAAAGTACAAGCGAGAAAAAGTTTGTCAGAAAGGCAGCGTGCCATGTTTTCCATTTGAAAGCTGCACACTAACTAAAAAAAGCGAAGGGAAGCTGTGCTCTACTCGAGCCCCACTCGCTAGCTTTTGAATTGCATCTTGAGTGAAAGCTGTTTGTACAAGTCTGAGTGACAAAGCTCAAAATGAAACTCCAGCCCTACATATATTTACAAAATATTTTACGGTTACACAAATTCATATTATGCCCTATCTATTTTTCGACCCCGGGCTTCAGTCACATCTGTTTATTTTATATAAATCTGTGATCTTTTTTATATATTTTATGGAAAGGAGGATAAGAAACTTTGGCTGATAGCCTTTTCCTGTATCCGCATTGTGCTGAAGATAAACAATTATTTTATGCATTTTTGTGTAAATGTGTAATAACTGTTTGTATTGAATTAATGTTTATTTTATATATTTTTGATTACAGCTAGCAGTTTGCATGGGGACGCCTATCCTCACGCCTAACTGGATTCTCAAGGCCTGGGTGAGGAGAGATGATGTGTAAGTATTTGCAATTATATTTGGAATATATGATTTGACTTGTCCAACATGACACTTGATCGCTTTCATAAAACAAACCATACCTTAGATTTTTAGTCTGTTAATTTTGCCGTCAACGTTCTATCAAAAATTAGTGCACCAGGAATTTAATTGTAATGTTTAAGAAAAATCTATTTTAGCCAAAAGAGGACTTGGATGCATATTTACTCTGAGTGGCATCTTTTCTTTCATGTGGCTTCAGTGTTGAATAATAACAATTATGATACTATTGATAGTAATGTTATTATTTTTAATATCTTGTTATATATACAATAGGGCTATCAAACGATTAGCATTTTTAATTGAGTTAATTACAGCTTAATAATTAATTAATCGTAATTAATCGCATTTCTAACTATCAGAAAAATTATACAAATGTTTTCTCTAAATTGTTGTTTGTATGGAAAGATAAATGACAACATAGTGTACATAATGCACTGTATTTGTTTTTTATAACAATAAATCCAAATGAAATGGCATTAATATTTATTAAAATTCTGTCTTTCTGTAGTAGACTCAGACCAAAACTATTATTATGGGATATTTCAAAACAGTCTGAAATGCAGAATTATATTAAATCTGTTTGATTTGCTCTCAATATTTTACTTTTGGGCACAATCCGTTAGGTACCACAGCTTTAATTTAGCGAGTGCGCTTCAGGAGAAGACACTGAGGAGACTGAGGCTCCGTAGTCAGAGGTGTATTCATTGCATGCACAGGTTACGCACAGGCTACGCAAAGACACGCATCCAACAAGTTGTTGTGTTGTTGTCAAAGCGACAGCCGCTGTAGGTGTGAACCTCTGTGCAGAGCGGCCGCAGCTGCCCCGGGTCAGAACGCTGCCCCGGGTCAGAACGCTGCAGGAGGATGCAGACTCCCGTTCAGTATATACAGCAAACAACAGGAAGTTCCCCGCAGTCACACGCTTTTTCTTTTTAAATTTGAATTCCCAGAGACCTGCTCTGTCGCCATCTCACACACGCACGTGTCCGCGGCGTTTTTAGTGTTTTAGTAATTATGGGAGGCATGGGCGGGTCATTCTGTACATGCGTTCAATACGTTAATTGTTTAACGCTATTAATGGAAAAAAATATTAACATGCACTAACGCGATAATTTTGACAGCCCTAATATACAATGAATCATTATTATCATCAACGATTATTATTATTAATGATAATAGCCATAATATTTGTTAATGCAAATATTGCTATTTTCATGACACTCAAAGGCTCTTTGTTTGTTTACTCTTTAGGACCTTCCACGCTGGAGACGAGGAATTCAGGACCGAGTACAAAGTCCCTCCGTTTCAGGACTGTATTCTGAGTTTTTTAGGTTTCTCAGATGAAGATAAAGTGAACATGGAGGAGCGAACACTGAAGCATGGTGTGTAATATTGGTCGTTTATATAGACATATATAAGAGAAAATATAGTAATTATTATAATGTGACTTGGATGCGACACTTGTTAATTCACTAGTCCTGCAATCTTGGTGTTGGATTTGGTTCCAGATACTTGCCTGTGCAGTAGAATGATCCTCTCAAAAAAAGAAAAAAAAACGGCATAAGATTAGGCATTATACCATTATCCCCCAAAGATAACAGCGGGTCCTTTTAGCCATCACCCAGGGATTAAGTCGTTTTTATGAAATGTACAGAAAGGCATACCCGGGGAGCCAAATTAAAACCGTACATGTCAAGTAGAGATAACCACCTCCCTGTGTGCCGGATAAAGGTTACTCTGTAAATATATGCGTCTGTGTCCCTCAGGCGGCACTTATCTGGAGGCGGGGAACGAGCGCTGCACGCACATGGTGGTGGAGGAGAACTTGGTGAAGGAACTGCCCTTTACTCCAGACAAGAGGCTCTATGTCGTCAAGCAAGAGGTGGGTTTCACTTTGGAAGGAGTAATTACCCAACTGATTTTATTTGTAGTTAAATCATTAGCGTTGCACCCAACAATGCATCAGACTAAAACTTCAGGGACCCCAATATATGCATGAAATCAACCTACAAACCTCAAGGCAGTTCTCCTTTTAATACAGTCCATTGTAGTGTTAGTACTGATGTGATGGTAAGAAGATCTGAGTGTTTGACCCAAGTTCTTGTCCTAGATGACTACAGTGAGACCCTTTTTTCCCTTCCTCTTTGAGAATCTCTTTGTGAAAGTTATTAATAATGTATTTTCTACTTTGGAATGCCGAGGCATCAAAAAAGATAAACTATTACCAATATAATTATTTATGTACATGATTAACAAATTGTCTGTGTGTAAAAAGGTTAGCAAAACAGGATACGACTTTATTTATAGCTTATATGAATCAACATAAATTGCTTGATAACCAAAAAACAAAACACACAAAGATTTGTCATAATTAACGATGTTCCTCAACTAAATACAAAACGAGTCACTAAACCAAGGCTTAAGCAAAAGTGATAAAATTGCAGACAAAATGCCAAACTGAAGCCCTGTGACTCCCACTGCCGCAATCAGCACCCAGACACAATGACCAGTGGATCCAGGTCTCGTGAAAAACAAGTTCCCCAAAAACAGAGATGACAAACACTGCTTTGATTTGACTGTTGCATAATCAATGTAATGCATTTAGCATTGGAGTTGTCACTATTAGTAGTACTGTAAAATTGATTAGTCGTTTTACAAAGAATTACAGTAGGAATGCACCGATACTGGCATTGGTCAATGCTATAAGCTTTTACTCTCTTTTTACTCGTACTCATACCATAGAACCCGATCCAGCGAACAGATACCCACATTTTAATTTACATTAGTGTCATGACAGCAGACAGCTGTGCGGCACGTGTTGCCATGGTGATCTCTGAAAGTCTGCAGTGAGAAAGCGTTTGTACTCATAAAAAGTGGTATCCCTAAATTCCAGTCTTCATTGCAATCTTTGTTATGAATTTTCTCACTTTAGGCTTTGTTAGAAGGAGCAGTGGGGTGAAAATTGGGGTGAACAATCGGGTCTTTTCTTACAAAACAATTCAAAAGTGTCAACTTATGACTCACTGAAAATATGATGTATACCTTTCAAGCCTGTGTGCACTTCCGCTATCGCATATTGCACTTTATTCCAATAAAGCCTTACCCTACTCTATGGAGCACCTTTACAATATGATTACACGTGCAAGGTTCCTGGTCATCACAATTTGGCCTCAAATAATGAATGCCTTTTGCGATCTGGAACAGCCCTGGCTTTCTGGATCAATGCATTCTCCTGTGCTCTAGCTCTTGTCAGCATGCGGTCGATATAAGATTTCCTCCTCCACAGGATGAATAATTTGAATCTAGCTGTCGGAGTGGTTTAGCTGTGCTCATAACCCCACAATCAATACACCTCTTTTAGTCTGCCAAGTTTGAGTGATTATCATAAAGCTTTTTTTCTACCAGGAGGCTTTTATTGTCATTTGTTTCTATTGTAGTATGTGTAAATAAATCTGTTTATTTTTCTGTGACAGTGGTTCTGGGGAAGTATACAGATGGACGCCCGAGCTGGAGAATCGATGTATCTCTATGAGAAGGTGAGAGTTGTTTTTATATTAGACTCCAAGTAGCTTTCAAATGATTAACCTGTGCATGTCCTCCAACAAATGTTACAAATTAAAAAAGTTCTTATAAATAGAAATATGAGTGATAACTAACTACATGTAATAGTGTAATTTTACAGCTACAGTGCCTTGCGAAAGTATTCGGCCCCCTTGAACCTTTCAACATTTCGCCACATTTCAGGCTTCAAACATAAAGATATAAAATTTTGATTTTTTTGTCATGAATCAACAAGTGGGACACAATCGTGAAGTCGAACAAAATTTATTGGATAATTTAAACTTTTTTAACAAATAAAAAACTGAAAAGTGGGGCGTGCAATATTATTCGGCCCCTTTACTTTCAGTGCAGCAAACTCACTCCAGAAGTTCAGTGAGGATCTTTGAATGATCCAATGTTGTCCTAAATCACTGATGATGATAAATAGAATGCACCTGTGTGTAATCAAGTCTCCGTATAAATCATAGACTGTATATATTAATGGACAGAGTCACGCCTATCTCCGCCGTTCTTACTAATGGGCCAAAAAATGTGCTCTACTGGAGCAATCCAAAATGGCCGCGAGTGGTCCCGCCCACAAGAAAATTGTGAAAAAACGCATCTGCGCATGCGTCAGCCGGCGCTGCTCAATTCATTTGAACAAGAGATTTAAAAAATTCACAGCAAGTAAACTAGAGTGGACCAAAAAAATCCATCCCCCTCAGCATTGACACACATGTGGGCCAAGAGCCAACTTTTGGTCCATCCTGTAAAGACGTTTTTGAGAGGTCTGCCAATGCTATATGTTAGCATTGGCTAATTCTACCCCCATCGGCCCGGGGTGGTATTGCATGCATGTCAGCGCACGTCATTTTGGCCACTTTTGAGCTGGGACCCTCCCCCACTGGTATAAATGCACCTGCTCTTTGATAGTCTCAGGGTTCTGTTTAAAGCACAGAGAGAACCATGAAGACAAAGGAACACACCAGGCAGGTCCGAGATACTGCTGTGGAGAAGTTTAAAGCCGGATTTGGATACAAAAAGATTTCCCAAGCTTTAAACATCTCAAGGAGTACTGTGCAAGCAATTATATTGAAATGGAAGGAGTATCAGACCATTGCAAATCTACCAAGACCCGGCCGTCCCTCCAAACTTTCATCTCAAACAAGGAGATGACTGATCAGAGATGCAGCCAAGAGGCCCATGATCACTCTGGATGAACTGCAGATAACTACAGCTATCAGTCGTGCACTGCACAAATCTGGCCTTTTTGGAAGAGTGGCAAGAAGAAAGCCATTTCTCAAAGAAATCCATAAAAAGTCTCGTTTAAAGTTTGCCTCAAGCCACCTGGGAGACACACCAAACATGTGGAAGAAGGTGCTCTGGTCAGATGAAACCAAAATCGAACTTTTTGGCCACAATGCAAAACGATATGTTTGGCGTAAAAGCAACACAGCTCATCACCCTGAACACACCATCCCCACTGTCAAACATGGTGGTGGCAGCATCATGGTTTGGGTCTGCTTTTCTTCAGCAGGGACAGGGAAGATGGCTAAAATTGATGGGAAGATGGATGGAGCCAAATACAGGACCGTTCTGGAAGAAAACCTGTTGGAGTCTGCAAAAGACCTGAGACTGGGACGGAGATTTATCTTCCAACAGGACAATGATCCAAAACATAAAGCCAAATCTACAATGGAATGGTTCACAAATAGACGTATCCAGGTGTTAGAATGGCCAAGTCAAAGTCCAGACCTGAATCCAATCGAGAATCTGTGGAAAGAGCTGAAGACTGCTGTTCACGAACGCTCTCCATCCAACCTCACTGAGCTCGAGCTATTTTGCAAGGAAGAATAGGCAAGAATTCCAGTCTCTCGATGTACAAAACTGATAGAGACATACCCCAAGCGACTTGCAGCTGTAATTGCAGCTATAGGTGGCGCTACAAAGTATTAGCGCAAGGGGGCCGAATAATATTGGACGCCCCACTTTTCAGTTTTTTATTTGTTAAAAAAGTTAAAATTATCCAATAAATTTGTGTCCCACTTGTTGTTGATTCTTGACAAAAAAAAATATTTTATATCTTTATGTTTGAAGCCTGAAATGTGGCGAAATGTTGAAAGGTTCAATACTTTACTTCACTACTTTCGCAAGGCACTGTATCTTCACATTTCTAATAAGAGTACGGAGGATTTTCTCATCTAAACACATTTCACTAAATCACTGTTAATTGCGTGTTATGGTGTATATGGTGAATAATTTAGGCTCTGGTTCATTGCCATGGTGATTTAGCTCAAACACAAATATTTTTTCAGTAGTTTCTATATTAAAGACGCTATACCCGTTTCTGCAATGTTTGAATGTTTAGCACCGCCCCCCAACTCGCTCACAGGCTTCTCATTTTCCCTAGGTTCTCATAACACGGAGCCACCTAGTTTTATTTGCGATCTGATACGTATGCTAACATTAGCATTAGCGCAACTTGTAAGCTGTACAACAATCACTGATTAAATGGCACTAAAGCTGCTAACACAATATGTAAGTAAAAGAATACCATTAGTTTCGCGTCCGAATGTATTAATTTAAACATTAGAATATATTCTAATATTTAATTATAATTTATTATACAGCTCCTCACAGCAGCAGCACTCCATTGACTTGAATGCAATTCTTCCGATCATTTTTTCTTGATAACAGAACTCTCAAACCAATACTGACCTCAGCCCCAATGCAATCTGTTTGTAATTCAGGTGTGTAAAATACTGCCATTACTTTGTACAACAAGCTATCAGCGCCTGTCACTACATTGTGCAGTTTTTCTGCACACTTGTCTGTGTAGAGAAGCTAGCAGAGCTAGCCACGCTCAATAAACAAATACATATCAATCAATCAGCACCATTAAACGTCAATCGGACAATACAGTATACATATACATCCTTAACACACATGCAGGGACAATTTCAGAATTTGCTGTCAACATTTTCATGATAAAAATACTGTTTTAAAGTGACAAAAAGCGATCGCAAAAAACCCGGAAGTTACCATGAAACGGCTAGCTAGCTTATCTGTTACCTGCTAGCACGTCCCGGTGAAACCTTTGGGAGCTAACTATTTTACTTGCAGTCATTAAATACATTTCGAATTATAAGGGCCGTCTAATATTTGTATGTGTGTGTGTAATATATATATATATATATATATATATATATAATTATATTATTAAATTTAAAAATTTTTAAATTTTGAAGTCAAAGCCCTGGTGTTAAGCAGCGCTGTAGAGGCTACAGGACGCAGGCTGTTCGCTGCTCGTTCTGTGAGTGGAAGAGAACAAACGGCCCACTAAGACTCTACTCAGCACTTTTCACTGCCTGAATTTCATACACAGTGGAATCAATGACCTCAAGTTTTCAATTAAAATATGTATTATTATACAACTTGTATGTAGTAAAAAGCATTTTTATGAACTACTTAGAAAAATGGAGGAAGTGTGTGTGGATAGGGAAGTCTGGGCGTCTCTGCTTAGACTGCTGCCCCCGCGACCCGGCAACGGATAAAGCGGAAGAAAATGGATGGATGGATGGACTTAGAAAAATAATCTGGTATAGCTTCTTTAAGTTTTCATCCTTTATACATTATTAAATACAGTCTTGGTCAGAAATGTAAGTATTGTAGTTTGGTTAATAACATTATTGAGATAATGTTAAGTACTATGAGATTGAAGTTGAAGATAAACTTTGCAACATTTGCTGCATTAACAATCACGTTCGATGCGATTTGGTCTTGCTGCAGCAGCAACAGAATAACATCATCAATTCAAGGACAGCCACAACCAAAACAAAGAGGTGGTCACATTTGTCCTGGCTGCAGTTACCTTATACAACACAATGGCATTAGAAAAGATGCCTTACAAATAAACAAAGGTCCTACTGACGTTTTAACCAAAATAAATGTTTTTATTGAATGTATGTATTATTGTTTCTCTGAATATCATCAGTTATAATTGTAATTTTAGCATTTAAGGTAGCTAAAAGGTATTAAGAAAATTCTCATCCTTTTGAAAATTGTTTGCGGTATTTATCCCTGCTTCAGAACGACAGTCCCGCCATGAAAAAGGCCGTGTCGCTCCTCTCCCTCACCACCCCAACCAGTAACAGGAAACGGCGGCGGCTCAAAGACACACTGGCACAGCTCACCAAAGAGACGGATATCTCCCCGTTCCCCCCTCCCCGAAAACGTGCCTCAGCAGAGCACTCGCTGTCTATGGGCTCCCTGTTGGACATCTCCAACACCCCCGACACGTGCAAGGGCCTGGCAGGTACGACAGGTGGATTTCACTTGGAGCTCTGCAAATGCCTGAAAGAATATTCACATTAACTCATTGACTGCCATTGACGTATTTGTTTGAGACTGGTGATTTCTGTCAAACTTCCATCTATTCCACTGGGAATTACAGGACAACAATAGCCAGAAACAAACTTATTTTTGCTGATGAAAGTAGACAATCCAGTCTTTCAGAATCTGGTTTCATATTTCACATATTCATAGCACATCATATTCTGTGGGTCTTGAAAATCAGTGAAATCATCAAAAAGGGCTGGCAGTCGATGAGTTACCAGTATTCATCTAGTTCAAATGCATTCAACTGTACAATGTGTGTATGATTTATGATAGGCATGATGGCTCAACAAATTAGTTCACGTATACAATGTATAAAAAATACCAGAGCTGCTGTTCTGCGAGCTGCCATGTATATATTACTTGTATATATCATGTTTTTAATCCAAGGAATTCTCTTCAATCATTTAGGACTTATTATCAATCAAGTAAAACATCTGACGGATGAAGAGCCTTGACACTTAAGCAATATGTTACATTTGTTCCCATTTTGATTATTGTAATATATTGTGCAGATTTCATGAAATCCAACTAAACATCTTGTGTTGGAATGGTTGAACTGTTGGTTGCAGTGAGCAGGGTGAGGGTCAGATCTGACAGCACAGGTGATGCAGCAGTGACCAGGAGAAAGGCTCGAAGGCACTCTACTACTGCCAGACACAGAGGGAGGAGTAGGACAGACAGGGAGCAGAGGAGAGCCAGGTCTTGCCTCAGTGCCATCCAACAAGCAGCAGAGGAGGATCTCATTGCATCAGCAGGTCAGACCAGCAGGTCAGGGAGAGAAGGGAGCGGGTGTCCCGGCCCCCACATGCACGACAACTTGGGACGACGTAGGGCTGCACCTTCCGATTATTTTAGTAAATCTAGTTTTTTATCTATTAAAAATAGTTCATATATAAAAAAAATCATATATTCAATAGATACATTTTATAAATGGTATAAAATGCTAAATTGAAATAAGCTTAAAATATTAATATATCAATAGTTAATTGGCTCTTAATTGGTATTTATTAGGCACCTATTCTATATCTATATTTACATTAAACATCTAACTAACTACTAACTGACGTGGGTTGGGGTACACTAATTGGCACTTAATTATCTGTTAATTAGTGACCATTAATCTAAAGTGTAACCCATGATTGTCACCTTCAGAGGTGCGTTGGCACAACACAGAAACTGAGTTCTGTGTGTTCGTTGTATATTAATGTTTAACTTTGTTTCAGCCCTAAAATAAATGATACAGGAACAAGATCCAGGCAGTGAACAGAATAACAAAGGGAATGAACAGTGTCTTGATACCTATCCAATGAATTTATATTTGTTACAAAGCAGTCCTCTTGATAGAAGTCACAGAGTTGTAGATTTGCATCTGATTAGAACATTTTACAGTTGAAACCAACAAATGATAAACCAAATAGAATACGGTAACTTAAAAGGATAGTTTTAACTAGTCTCCTGCAAATCCCTGGTGGTTATGTCAAGAGGAAGTTTATTTTAGTAAGATAGGTTTGTTACTTTGTCATTAATACTGATGCTTATAAGTTGCAGTATATGGTTTGTTTGTGTGCTCTTAGAAACCCTATTTCCTATTCACCAAATTGAGCAATGTCAACTCCAAGACACGCTCACTATTGTTAAGCAGATGATCAGAATGTTATGAACATATTTTGGTCTTGTAGCTGCCATACATTTTCAAAGTTGATATGTTCTAAGGCGGCAGCCGCGAAGTGGACTGTCTGTTAACGAGTGTTTTTCCCTGTCGGCCTGGCTTCTATAGAAAGCTCAAAGCCTTCGAAGAGCTCCACTCCGGTCGTGTCAAAGCAGTCGGCGAGGTGGCAGGTCTCCAAGGAGCTGTACCAGACGGAGAGCAACTATGTGGATATTCTCAGCACCGTCCTCCAGGTACCAGCCATCAATGGCCCTTCACAGCTAGAAATTACAAAAACATAAGTTAATTAGCCCAGCTTGTTTTAAGACCCAATGTACTCAACAGAAGATAGAGATTATTTGATTTTAAAATGTGTTTGTATTTTACTCTGTGACAAGACCACCAGTCTTTCAAATGATTTATTATAGATGGATAGATAGGTAGGTAGATAGATACTTTATTGATCCCCATAGTAGAAAATAAGGTGTCCAGTAGCAGTAAAAATAAAAAATAAAATGTATAATTCTAAAAAGCTTACAATAGTAATTATCAGCAAAAGCCCTTCATGTCACAGCACCAGAGGTGGAGTAGGCTCTGGGTGGAGCAGGACTGGTCACAGCAGCCCTATTATAGATTATAGAGATCCCAGGCTCTTTGAATGTAAATGTGCGTATAATGGAAATCCGTTAGGGTCTTTTAAGACAGCATGGTTTAAAATAATAAATGTTATTATGGCTTTACAGTTGTGCGTAGAAAGTTGAATGTAGAAAGTGAAACATTACTTAATACCTTGGATGTACAAAAATATATTCTTCAAATATGACCTTAAGCCAATTAATACAAACTAGCTGTTTTGGCTATAATCCTAAAAGAGAGCTACAGACTTGATTTGAGCTTTTGGACATGTCTAAAGCCTGTCCTGACAAATTCTTGGTTCCCATCGACAGGTAGCTATCTAGCTGCACTTGTACCCTCAGACATCGCTCCCGTTATTAAAAGTATTCTTGCTTATCGCCAAGTCACAGCAGCAGGTACTTGGACCTCAACCCAGCCAGGGAGAAAACGAACTAGGTCTGACCGTTTTCACTGGCCACTCTCCCAAAAAAAAAAATCTCTAATAAGGCCTAACATTTTAAGGCCTCGTTCACACGTACCCAAGTTTTTTTTTGAAAACCTAATGTTTGCCTTATTTGCACTCATCGTTCACACAGATTTTGCTTTTGAATTTTTTTGAATTTTTTTACTTTTGCAAACTATTTTTTTTTTTTTTTCATGGAATGTATTATAGTTGTACTTGTTGAATTTGTGTGGTATTTTGTTACATTACCATGGAAATATGGAGCAAAATAAAGGGGCAAAAATGACTCAGAACTCAGCCGATGCAGGGCCCCTTATGGACCACTGTTTTCTATTGTTGTATTTCTTGTGTTTGAACTGTTCTCTGATCTGTGTTGGCGGATTCAACAGTTTTGCAAAGTCTTCAGAGATAACTACTGTTGTGATTTAGGGATATACACGTATGCATTGAATTTAAATCTACATGTTTTCTATTTATTTTATTTTCAAGCTCTTCAAGTTTCCACTAGAAAAAGAGGGACAAGTTGGAGGGCCAATTCTTGCACAAGAGGAACTAAAGACCATATTTGGTAGCATCCCAGATATATATGAAGTTCATAAAAGGATCAAGGTATTTCTGGAACTCTTTGTATTTACTATGTAAGTTCGTTGATCTAACATGCACTGTAATTATTGTCTACAGAGCGACTTAGAGGACCTTCTGACAGATTGGTCTGAAAACTGCAGTGTTGGGGATATTATCTTGAAATATGTGAGTTCAATCTGAGGATTTTATTTTTTATTCTGTGTATTAAATGTCAATCAAAACATACAAGATATATACATAAATGTATAGATAAGTAAATTTATTGTTCAACTTTGTTGTGTGGGGTTTAAACTTTGTCATGACTGGTTTTTACAGTCCAAAGACCTGGTGAGGACCTATCCACCTTTCGTCAACTTCTTTGAAATGAGCAAAGAGACCATCGTACGGTGTGAGAAGCAAAAGCCACGTTTTCATGCTTTTCTCAAGGTATTGTCTGCTACACGGCTCTGAAATATTTTCTATCCAAGGAAAAACATTGTTGCTTTGAATGCCACTGGTAGAGCTGTAAGGGTTAATCACTCTACCATAATGGATTTTTATGTATGTTATTGATTTATTTAAATGCTCTATTTACTCAACACACGTAAGTGCTGTGAAATGCAATTTTAAGACTAGAACAGAGAAACAATAAACAAATACAAACTTAACTAGTCAGCTGTGCTTTGATGTGAGTGGTTGTAGCATGTCTGTCAAGACCGGTGACAAGTTGTTTATCCAATCACAGAATTATTTCTTATATATTATTTTTTTTTTAACAAGGCCCTGCCCCCTGAAATAAATTTCCTATTGAGAAATCCTAGACAGTGTTGCTCAGCAAACTACAAGGATCTGCCAATGCTATACCTCATTGTAAAGCGCTGAGCAGACCATACTCGGTCAAAAGGTTTTACAGTCTGAGTTGTCAACCCCTTTGACAAGTCTTTTGAACTTAATTGGCCCTCTTACTAAGACATTTGGACACCCCTTTATCTATTGCCTTTGAGTTCTTTCACTTATGGATGTCATCATATTCAAGATCCTTAATGGAACCCCCTCTTTTTAAGGTTTTGACGAAAGGAAAACAAAATCACAGTTGACTAGACCGAGTAGAAATGGCTGCCTGTTTTTCCTTCACATAGATGGCAGTAATTACAGGCAGATCAACTGACACAGATGCTGCCAACTTTTCAAAAGCAGGTCGCCCTACATTTAGACTGAACAATGTCTTCTTCACAGATAAACCAGGGAAAACCGGAGTGTGGAAGACAGACACTAGTGGAGCTGCTCATTCGACCCGTGCAGCGGCTGCCCAGTGTTGCGCTTCTTCTAAATGGTAAGGACATTTTTATTCAACCGTAATTCTCCTGTCATGATTAAATTCCTCCTATATAATTGTTTCTGACTCTTGTTAAATCGTTGTATGAAAGCAAGGATAAAAGGAACAAGAAGCGGTGTGATTTTACGGTTTCAGCGCACAACACACTTTTAAGTCCAAGAACCGCATGAGGCCCTGCAGAGTGTTTGAACTGCACTGCTGTTGATCATTTGCATTTTAATAAAGCAAAGCAATTTTTTAACTATTTTAATACAACAATACGCTATTCTGCAAAGCTCTGGAACACTTTTTAAGTCCTCCGCTTAATCTGAATTAGGACTGGGCTGGTCTTAAACATGCAGTTTGTGTGAGCATTGATGAATTGGACACCTGACTTTCTCCAAAGTGACTGTAATAATTTAAAATGTGTTTTTAATTGTGTTAAAAGCTCCTCGGACTTTGGAAATTAGTCTATAAATGCTGTAGTGTTTCACATGTTTGTTGTGTACACTTGTCCCTAATTAAATCAACCTGTAATTTAAAATGCCGTTTAAACAGAATAAATTTTTTTTTAGAATTTTTAGAATTAAATTTTACCTTTGCAGACATCAAGAAGCACACTGCAGATGACAACCCTGACAAGATTACCCTGGAGAAGGCAATTGAGTCTCTGAAAGAAGTCATGACGTGAGTTGGTTTGACTTTTATTGTTTTAACACCCACTGCAGAACATTGGTCATGCCTGTACGCCATTCAAGTTGTCAGATTCATATAAATACCTTAAGCTTTTCATTAGTTATTAATGTTCCCATTTCCTTGGTTTATAACAAAGACTTTTTCTTTATAATGCGTTGGAGTCAGTGGGGGCGGGTCCTGGCTCAAAAAGGTCCATGAGCACGTGCGCTCTTGCAATACCCCTCCTGGCCGGTGGGGGTGTACCTGGAATAAGAAATACCCAATGCTTTTGTATGACGTCTTCTTTCCACTCAAACGGCTTTACAGAATGGTCCAATGGTCGGCTTTTGGCTAACGCTATGTTCCAGATGTGTGTAAATGCTGAGGGGAGTGTATTTTTTTGGACCACTCTAGTTTAGCCTCTGTGGACTTCAGAAGGCACTCATTAAATGAATGGGGCTAGTGCCGGCTAACGCATGTGCTAATGTTTTTTTCACGTTTCCCTGCCCCTGCAGCCATTTTGAAAAAGTCCAAAGAAGTGGTGGCACATTAGTTTCAACGGCAGATATAGGCGTCACTATATCCGTTAATATTTACTGTCTATGGTTGGAGTATTTCTCAAAATGTATTTGTGAAATGCTTTTTAAATAATACAAGTTTTTTTTAAATAATAACAGAGAAAGTATCTTACATATGTAAGATATGTTATATGTAGAAATCTTTGCTGTTCTTTTAGACCGTTTATATTGATATAAAATGAAGAAGTGACTCTTCATTTAGAAGTGATGGACGGCACGGTGGCTGAGTGGATAGCACTCTCGCCTCTAAGCAATCCCCCTTGGAGCAGGGTCTTTCTCAGTCGAGTTTGAATGTTCTCCCCGTGCTTGCGTAAGTTTCCTCCGGGTACTCCGGTTTACCCTTACCACTAAAACATGCACACTAGGTTAAATCCTCCAGCTTTGGTAGTCCTGACTAGGGCTTTGACTTTTGCACAAAAATCATGTGTTTATTGATTTTAAACATTTGAATATATTAAAATATTTAATTATAACTTATTATACAGAAGCAGCAGAATGCTCCATTGACTTGAATGTAATATCAAAACATTCTACCTATCATTTTTCTTGATAACATAACTCTCAAAACAATAATGACCGCTGCCCTTTGGCAAAGCACTCTGCTTGTAATTCACTTGTGTAAAATGCTAACATTACTTTGCAAGTACAACGAGTTTTCAGTGCCTGTCACTACTTCTGTCTGTGCAGAGAAGACAGAAGTAGTGTTTAATGAGCTCAATAAACAAATATCAATCAACACCTTTAAATGTTGATCGGAGATCTCCTTATACATCTTTAACACACATGCACAGAGGTTTTCAGAATTATCTGTTAAGGTTTTCATGACAAAAATACTGTTTTAATGTGACAAAAAGCGATCACGGTAAACCCCGAAGTAACCATTAACATGAAACGAATATTTTATTTTAGGTTCGGTGTATATAAATGGGTAACTCACCGCTGATGTTCAGAATTCTTTGTTCAGTTTTCATGTAGTACGAGAGACTTTTTGAACTAGCTAGCTTAGCTGTTACCCACCTAGCCACGTCACGGCGAAAGCTTTGGGAGCTTTAACTATTTTATTTGCTGTCATTAAATACATTTCGAATATTAAGGGCTGTCTAATATTTGTTCAAATATATATTTATATATATAATTTCAAATTATATTCGAATATCGAATTTTTGAGTCACCGCCCTAGTCCTGACCAAGCTGAGCATCAACATCTGGAGATGGGTTCCCGGGCGCTGTACTACGGCGACCACTGCTCCTGACGTAATCCTTAGCGGCATCAGGATGGGTCAAATGCAGAGGATTGAATTGCCCTACGGGATCAATAAAAGTGCACCTTAAGTATGTCATCTTTTTTGATGAATGTGTATTGCGTTTTAGACATATCAACGAGGACAAGAGAAAAACTGAAGGCCAAAAGCAAATTTTTGATGTGGTTTATGAAGTTGATGGCTGTCCTGTAAGTACCATGGTTTAACTGAAACTTTGGAATCTGATACGAGTATTATAACAAGTAACTTTTTCTAGGCCAACCTGTTGTCCTCACATCGCATCCTGGTCTATCGGGTAGAAACTATCGCTTTGGGAGATCAGCCGTGCGATCGTGGAGAAAACGTCACACTCTTTCTCTTCAACGACTGTTTGGAGGTGAGATCCAAAGTCTCCATGGATTTTTTTTGTCTATTGCCTTGTTTTAATCCCTTTCTGTGTTTGTGTTGCTTATTACTCGTTCTTATGCCTCATTCATGTAAACCTCTTCACAACAGGTGCACTTCTTCTATTTGAGACTTCCCAGGTTCCAGGGGCCCCCAGGGGAGCTTGAGATCATTGCACAAAACACATCATTTGAGTCTAATTATTTCCTACTGACTAGACACTTGCATGTTGTGTGCAATTTGAATTTGTATGATATTTGCAAATTCTGTAACTGTGATGCACTGATGTAAAAATGTAAAAAAATAGACGGTAAAAATGGTTCAGCCTGTTCACATTTCCCTTATCTTGAGACCTGATTGATATTTATGTGACAAAAAACCTATTGGCCAATATATATTAAATGGGCAGCCGATATATATTGCAGCACTACTATATTTATATAACTAATAATTAGTATCTCTATCCCAGGATGTCTCAAACGCCTAGCTTAGACTTTTGTAAACAGCCTTTTATTTGCAATAAATACATTTTAGTTTATTTTTCTTTTGTCGATTTATAATGCCGGTATTGAAACCAAAACAAAATGGTTTTCTCAACAAGACTTCTTCTAAGAACCTTCATTGTTTCGAATGTGAACAAGGTTTGAACCAGGTTCCAGTTTCCAACTTGGTTTGTTGTTGTGACGTCAGAATCAATACAAAATAAATGGTGTCTTCAGTGGCTTTTGACTAACATCGAGTCAAAATTATAATTACTCAAAATGGGGAAATTAAATTAAAGATTTGTCTAGATTTTTGTCATTTGGCCCAGCCCTACCCCAATTATAAGGGATGCAAATCACTTTTACACACTTAAACCAATAATATACCACTAGGACCAGTTTAAAATGGGCATTATAGAACTCACCACATCCTTCAGTCGAGATGAACAGAGTCTGATACATTTGAAGAACAAATAATTTTGCATGAGCTTCTTGCGTACTGTCCGTTGTTGCTGACAAGAGCAGAGGGAGCCTTAACCAGTGTGGACCAGTAAATGAACAGAGCAGGCATCCGGAACTTCAGCATGTGGGCGGCATCGCTGAGTCAGACGTGTCAAACAGCCCCTAATGAGAGTCACACATGCATCTCTGATATCCGCTTATGTGTTCCTACTCGTGCACTGAGTCGATGTGAATGTGCACTGTTTATAGAACTTGGCCTTGTTTAATATTGATAAGCTCTCTCGGCCCTCTCACAACAGTGAAAGTAATTATTCACCGACCTCTGACTTTTGATAGTTTTTGTATTCCAGGCAAGTGTATTACATAAAACATTTGAGTAATCAACCAAGTACCGGTAATTGTAATGATATGGTCAAATTAGTTAGACAAAGTGCTTAAATAAATAAAAGGATCAAAATAAACACCTTGAATTTAAAACCAAAAAAAAATAATTTTCTGTCCTTCTAATTTTATGTTCATTCGTGTGTGACAATTGCCATGTCAACCATTTTCTTTGGGACTTGAGGGAAAACAAAAAAAGTGTTTATTTATCAGACAAAAAAAAATATATATATGTAAAGCGATCTGGGAAAACCCATCACATAGTGAAATTTGAAATTTCAAAATAAAATTAATTGACTTTGTTTTATGAAACTTTTCTAACTCTTCGTTTTTAGTGTCTTTCTCTTTATAAGTTACTGAACATTATATATGTATTAGACAAAGCCAGTATTATTCTATCCAATCACGCAGTATAAATATCCACAACCACCAAGCATTTTTAATGCAAGGATAAAATTAGGTACCCGAGCTTTAATTTCGTGAGCGCATAGGAGACACGGGGGAGACCTTTGCAACAAGCTGGGGATTGTCTGAACGCGTGTCAATGGTTCTGTCCGCGTATGGGAGTGTCTATGGTCCTGTCTCGCGTGATATGATCCGCGTGTCTCGCGTGATATGATCCGCGTGTCTCGCGGATCATATCACGGGACTATGGAACTATGAACTATGGGTTCTGTTCGTGTGTTTATGGGTTCTGTTCGCGTGTCTATGGTCCTGTTCGCGTGTCTTTGCTCCGCGCTCGGAGCCCAGACGGCAGTGCGTTCACTGAGCTGTTCTGTCAAAGCGGCTGCAGCTGCTCCCGGGGTCAGAGCGGAGGATGTAACGTAACGTTCGGTTTATCACAATTTTTATTGTATAAAACTAGTGAATTTCACCTAGATATTTTCAGAAATTAAAGACAAGAAGTTATATAATAATTATTTAATGAAAACAGCCCTCAACCTATTTTCACTATTTACTCGGAACGTGCTAGCGCGACATCTGACGGGTTTTCCCAGATCGCATCACATATTATATATATGCAAGGTCAACAATTACTGCTATGCATTGTTTGTCCTATTTGTCGAAGTTGAATTGGATGATTCGTTCGTCACATGAACCAGTGACAGTTTTAAACCTCTAAAGCGCCTGAGATTAAAGCAGAAGTTGCTAATTTATTAAGTCGTTTTTGTCCAGTTCTGAAACGCAATCCCTGCATTTTTGCTTTCTCTTCTCATTAGCCCCATTAATGAGCTGCTTCATTGATGAATTGCCAGGTTAACTAATGACGTCCCTGGTCCCACAGCAAACCGCGTTCGATCCCTGTCCACAAAGTCTCACGCACCTGCCTTCCTCCTTGTCTGTATTTATAGATTGCACGAAAGCGCCACAAAGTCATCAATACGTTCAAGAGTCCACTGGGACAGACCAGACCTCCGCCTCCGCTCAAGCACATCGCACTGATGCCTCTGTCCCAGATCCGGAGGGTGCTGGACCTGCAGGATACAGAGGGTATGCCTTGCATTTGTTGTATGTATTTGGGAAAGAACAACGAGAAACACATTGACACAAAAGTACAGAAGTTGGAGTTTTTTAGAAGTGTAATCTTAATTGATGCTACCCTGTTTACTCATTCAGTGAATATACAATGTTGGCTCGATTACAAGTTTTCTTTGCCGATAAGATTAATTTTCAGTCTAGAGATGGCTTTGTAGTGGACATTTTCTACTTACCATACTACTTTCAAAAGGCCATAAAAAAGGCCTTTAAAATTACTTTAATCTGTAATGCATATGATTTGGTAGAAATTCTTAGTCTGCAAATGAATATGTTGGGCTTTCTAAACATCTGAATTCTCAGGGCTATTTGTAGTTGAACAACTGCTGTAATAATTCTGGACTTGGAATGTTTCCACTGTAGTATTTCCCAGTGTTTGAAACCATTTATCTCTGTAGTAGTCTTTTGATAACCACACAGAGAAAATACAACTATGCCTTCCGTATGTTTTTTCTTTGCGCGATGGGAAGGGGGACAATGACCAGATAAACGCTGCATCTGCTGCTCTCTGAACAGCTTTGATAAATGTTCGCTAAATGCACCACAAAAGTATATTTGTCTCCCCATTTTTTCCTTTCGCTGCTTCTGCATCCATCTCCCATCTGTTTCTGTTCTGTTGTGCTTTTTGTCGAATGTAGTCTCTGTAATTTGTTGATGCTTTTGTCATTTCTTGTCCGTATGCTGCGCCTGCATCAGTTTACACGCGGATAAGTGCTAACATTAGATCTTTTTTTCTCAGATGACCACGGAAAATTAAATTTTTTAATAATTACCTCTGGGTTTCAGATGAGAAAATGAGGACTGCTACTAGGGGTCTTTTATTTTGCTTACAGCACACTGATATTATTTTTTATTGTCATGTATCAAATGATTTACACATGGTTCTATAATCTAGCTTCAATTAACAATTCACATAACTAAAACAATTTAATTCATAAAAAAATAATTCATATTTATATAAACAGCTTTGACCCATGATAAAACAAATGCACTTCCTTTTCAAATGCGCATGATTAATAGTGCACAACTATTGCACTTCCCCAAACCCAGTGCGGTACAAGCACCACACATAAACAGTTAAAGTATCCGAGCTGGCACGGAAGCCGGACGCATCACCCACTACCATTTAGAGCACATATACAAGACACACTCGACAGATCGTGCCACATAGTCTGTATGAACAAGCGGGTGCTCTTATTTCCTTTTTATTCTGCTGTTATGTGCACAACAATACTGAAATTACTGAAACTGTGGGACAAAAAAGGACTATCTTATCTTATGAAAATGTTTTTACTACTATTCAAAAGATAAAATTACTCATTTCTGTGGATCAATAAAACCAACACTATGGAACATCAGTTTATTACAGAATTCAGAAATGACATAGATTTAAGCCATTTCAAGTGAATTTAATTTTTTTTATAGCCCTTAATCACAAAAACTGTTCTCTGAGGACTAACAACAGTTCCTTACTTCTATGAGAAATGATAACATTACAACCTTTTTGATTTTTTTATGTTGTGCTAGTCCAATAAGAGAAGTCTGTATTTGTCTTCCCTATCGCTTTCCTCTTCTTTTTTTCCGTCTTTCACTCATTTCCTCCGTCTCATTCCCCTTCTATTCTGTCCTTCCAGAATGTGTAAATGCCTTCGCCCTGGTGGTGCGCCCTCCGACCGAACAGGAGAATTTGTTGTTTAGCTTCCAGCTGACCGGGGAGGACACGGTTAAAAGTGCCTGGCTGCGGATGCTGTGTCGTCACGTCGCCAACACCATCTGCAAGGCTGATGCGGTGAGAACATGGATTTTAGCCGCATTATCATTTGAATATTTATTTTGTACAGCTCAAAATCACAATCAAATATGTCTCATAACACAGACTGGCTATTTTGCCATTTGTAGATTATATAATAAAACATTTACCTAATATTTTATGGAAATTAAACAATTGAAGGAATGTCCCAGAGCATCCACCATGTTAAAACACAGTTGGAAAACTAAGTCACAGATAAATGTGGCAAGAAGCTATATCATAATCTTGTTAAATTGACATATGTTGCGTCTCCAAACTATCTTATTAGAAGAATAGTAGAAGAATAAATCTTAATTGTCTGTTCAAAATGAGCAGAGATTTGTCTTACAACACGGCACAATTAAAAATAATTTATAAAACACTATCGGTTGTTTAGGGAAGTGACTGCAGACGGGACAAACGATCTCTTGTAGATGTTTTTTCGGGCCAGCAGGGTTCTGTGTCTCCTTCCTGATGGCAGCAGAGAGAAGGAGCCATACAGTGAGTGTGTGGCGTCCTCAGTGAGACAGTGGCCTTCCTCAGCACTGATTGGCTGTACAGCTCACAGAGCAGAGTTTGTGGTGTTTGGGTGATTTTGCTGGCCTGTTTTACTACACTGATGAGTTTTGTTCTGTGTTTGAGAGTGAGGAAATTGAACCAGGTGGAGATATTGTACGTGAGGATGGATTCAATGAGTGAGATATATACAGTTGATAAAATGTCTTTGCTAAGATTAAAATATCTCAATTTCCTGAGGAGATGGAGGCACTGCTGTGACTTTTTAAAAACAGTCTATATGGTGCCCAAAGGACAAGCATTATTGATAAATGTTGGTTCATGGGAAATGCTGACCTCATGTCTACAATGTCATGATTAAACCCCTGATTCTGCCCCAAGCATGCTTAGCGTTTAACCACATGCTATTTAATGGGAACAATTAAATATCTATATAATATTGGAAAACATTAGTGGAGCCCACATGGACATCTAATTATGTGTGCAGTTCATGAAATCCGTTTACTCAAGCATGGGCGGAGTGTGACTTACAAAAGGTCATTCCCACATACAGCTATTTATAATTCTGTATAGTATGAACATCTAAAAGAATCATAATGAAGCTTTTTATTTAATTAAAAAAAGATACAAAAACCAGAGTAAAGTTAATAGTAGAATAATACAGTACACATACTCTGACCCTACACCTCCCACTACTCAGTCTTTTTTATATTTTATGTTTTCATTTTTATTTTTATTTTTTGGGAAATTAAGCCAGATTGAGCAATTTGTTTCTCCAAAATTCATCAATACACAAATAGAGCTAATTTGTAGGCATTCCAAAATATATATTACATTTAGAGTAAATAAGTTCTGCTTTGTCAATAGTCTTATAAATCTTAGTAGAAGCTGAAGTCGATGCATGTGAATTTCCTTTAAATGTTTTATTAATAATAAAACATGAACATTAGAAAAGTACCCTCATGATAAAGGCTTGATGTCCTGGTCAGGCTCGACGTTCAAGTTTAAGCCATAAAAGTGTTTTAATAATTTTCATTAATTCACTCCCTCCCATGTTTCTTCACAAAAAAGAAAATTGTATTTTGCAATGTATCCACATTCAGCACAGTCCGTATTGGAGTACAGAAGCAAAATCACATGTGTTAATCCCCACATAGGTATTTTTTGGGAAAGCGACTCAAGTGCATCATAAAGCCTTAATCTTCCTAATTATTTGCTAACTATTCTTTAGTGGGCCGTCGGTATACAGAAGGGGGCGCTGTTGGCCTCTCCTCTGAGGTGCCACAGCTGCATTGCTAATGCTGTTCTTCAGTGGGTCAGTGCTGCAGTGTGCATATCAAGCAGATGCATACAGAAGCACTTGTTTAAGAGTCCCTCGCACAGAAATGGGAGGTGGGGAATAAGGAGGAAAGATGTAAGAAGGGACATCGTTAATGTATAACCATGATTTAAGATTCCTTTATTTTCTCAATGTAAAAATTTTTGTTCATAATGAAATGCTTGCTGCACCTGCAGGCACTAGTCTGATCTTACTAATATGGACTATGCAAAAAATGTCAATGACAAGTTTCAACGCCATACTTGCATGTGAAAGCCAGATTCCATCAGATCTCTGAAGCTGTATAGGGCAAGGCCTGGTTAGTACTGTGAAGGGTACACCAGGTTCAATAGTGGTGCGGCTGTAAAATGTTAAAATTTGGTTGGTTCTTTAGGCAAGACACTTGATCCACATTGCCTAGAATGGGTCTAATGTGTTTGTGAATGGTTTGTGGTGGTCAGAGGGGCCGATGACACACACTGATTGCCTCGTGTCTGTCAGTGTAGTTGTTTATCATCTACACTGACACTGCGTTTGGAGTGAAAGAATAATGACATGTGAAGCATCTTTGAGTTTCCTGAAAAGCGCTATATAAAACCATCCATCCATCTTCTTCCCATTATTCAATTTCTGGGTTTGAGGGGTGGAAGTCAACGCTGCTCCCAATTCACAGAAAGGCAAAGTGGGGTTAAGTATCTTGCCCAAGGACACAATTACAGCAGACATCAGTGGGAGTCGGTGAACAAGGTCTCGTGGTGGGCTCGAACCCTCAACCTTCAGGCTCAAAGGCCAATGCTCTACCACTGCCAAGTATAGTGACAGTATAAAACCAATACATCATTCTTATTATTTTTGTGTACTTTTGACTTGACCTGTCACGATAATCCCTATATGGACTTTATTATAGTTTAATAAAATAGATTATTGCTTTTTGCTTTTTTTAAATGATCAAGTTTTTTTCTGTTAAACGGTTCACTGATTAGGTATTACTTAATTCAGCAACAGTTTTCTTTTTTTTGTGTGTTCTTGCAACAGTGGTACTAAAGTGTGAATCCATATCACTAAAAGTGAGGAATGGTTGTTATTGCAGACTTTTGTAGACCTATTTATCAGATCACTCAGATCTGCAGTGAAAGGCGGTATATAAATAAAGATTACTTACTACTACTACTTACTTACTTTATATCTTTCATGAATTGAGTCCTTTGTTCAATGTTTTGGTTAAATGATGTAGTTTCCTGCTGAGCCCTGGATGCTGCAGATGTAAATATTGTTGAAGAAAAGATACGATAAGATAGACTTTGTAAATTTCTCCTGTGTGAGAAAAATAAAGTTCCTGAAGCTGCTGCCCTTATGAGGCGAGGGGTCGACCTGCGTGTAGTACAATGCAGGAGTGCAGCACGGGAAAATTACTTCAATTTACCAATTGCTGTTATAGTTGATAATTTGAGAGCTTTGAGTGATCTATATCCTTTTTAGGCAACTCGACAACAACAAATGAAACATGTCAGTATTTAAAATTTGTTAAATGGCAAAGAATAAGTCGACATCATTAAAAAAGGGTCCGGTCAAGTGCTGGGTCTTTCGATGCGGTGTGTATTAATGAATGCATATCTTGCCTTGATGTTTATTGCTAATTGGACTTCTTCATTTGTGCTAACCAGGAGGAGCTGATTCAGAGCACAGACCCGGACTCTCTCCAGGTCAGCACCAAGGACATGGACAGCACTCTGAGCAAAGCCTCCCGGGCCATCAAGAAGACCTCCAAGAAGGTGACGGCAGGACACTTCTATTTCACAACACTACAGACGTCTCAGACCAGGCTAAAAATAAATCGTTTAATACCAAGAAGAAAAATTGTGATTTCCTTTTCTTTACAGCATAAACAAAAGCTGATAAGAGTTAACGATGTAACAATGTCTATTTAAAAAGTGTGTTGCGGTTTTGTTTTTCATTATTTTTTTAACAAGTCCAACATTTTCAGGGCAGGCAATTATATTGATATAATGTATTTTATAATAAGATTTTTACTATTTGTAGTTATATGTACATTGCCCATCAACTGAAAACGCACTGTAGAGGAACGACTGCTGCTGCTTTGGGAAATTCTGGAGCTAAAGTCAGAGGACTGTGCATAGCTAAATGTTAGCTATATGATTATTAGTTATTATCATTATTAGTTTTGTAACACTTAAGATTCCTAAATTATTTAAAGTAATCTGATTACTGTAGCGCAAGGCATCACTGCTGAAGACCACAGAAAAAAAACACTATATACAAAAATAAAACATTTGAAACTCTGAAATTAGACTAAAGGAGCACAGATAAGACCCCAGTTTATTGTTCAAATCATTGTCGCTAAATTCTGGTGAAATACAAAGTTATTTTCAAAGTCATACAAATCAGGCAAATATTTTTTTGTGGAGTTGAAGTCATCACATCAAATGGATGGAAAATGGTGCATTTGGATATATTTTTGATTAAAGCGAGATCATTACTCATTCTCACTGTTGTTTTTTATTTCAATTGGGTCTCTTAACGGTTCTTTGAACTCGAGATTTCTTTTTGACTTTTTTTTTTAACTTGTGCAATACTGTTTCTTATGCCTGAAACTAAATTGGTCTAAAATGTGTTCTTATCATACAGAAGAATAATGCACAACACAACTGAAATACATGTGTTTAAAGGATCACCTTGAGAAAGATGTTATCCAGAATAATAAATGAATAAATAATCTAATGCATAATGTATATTTCTTTGTGTGTGTGTGTGTGTTGCAGGTAACGCGGGCGTTCTCCTTCACTAAAACCCCCAAGCGTGTGATCCAGAGAGCGTTCCTGGCCAACAATACCCCTGATGAGAAGAGGCTGAGCTGTGAGAACCGCATCGGCAGCAGTGCCACACTCGCTGTAAGTGCTCTGTCTGTGCCACCAGAAGGGGAAGTCAGGACAGGATCACTCGGGGCCAATCAGACTGACGGCGGGGGGTAGATGACACAGATCCATTAAATAATGTCCTTTGTTCATGGGTTTTTCAGCTTCATAAGACTATTTCATTGGAGATGTTCAGGACTTTAGCCCATTCAAATCATTTGTATTTGAAATAGTTTGGGCTGTGCATTGCCTTGTATCTAATGATTGAATTGTATAATGCATGTTATGTTGCCGTCACTAAACTATTATTCTATTTATTTGGTTACTTCAGAAGCAACTCATTAAAAATAAGCTCTTGCTAGATTCTTTTCTCGTGTCTCACTAGAGAGCCGGAGAGCAAGTAACTCAATTTATATATTTTAATACAAAAAGTTTAATTATTGTTATTGAGATTACATGATCGTTGGGGTTAAATATTCCAACACACTTAGTATAGCCTTCCTAAAATATTCTGTTATAGTTTTATTTAGCAACATTAATACAGTAAGTATGATTTATTAAAACTATGCACTATGACTCTCCAGGTAATCAATGCATCTGTTACATTACGGCGTGTGGCGTGTGTCCTCTGAGAGCATTCGTCTTTTCCCACAACAAATGAAAATCCTGTTCCATTGTCATAACTCTCATGTCCAGGTTAAGCAGCGTGTGTGTTTGTCCTGTGCTTCAGATGTCTCGCTCTACCTCCACGTTCAGTCTGAGCGACTCCTCTAAGGGCGGTGCAGTGGTCCAGCGTTCCAACTCCCTGGACCACCCCCCTCTCCGAATCCGTGTCCCCCGTAGCCCCCGTCCCGACAAAGCCCCCCTGAGCCCAGCCTTTTACCCCCGCAGCATGTCTCACAACAACTCCACGTCCATCCTCCACGCCCCGCTCGCCCACCTCTCTCCCCCCGGGCCTCTTTCCGCTTCCACCCCGTCGGCCAGAATCTCCACCCAGGTCCAAGCCACAGCCGCCCATCTTAAACCGGGGAAGTACCCCGTGTGGCATGTACCCTCGGTGGGTTTCACGGCTGCAAACGGCGCCACCAACTCTCAGGGCCAAAGTAGTTCTGCAGAGCCCATGTCTGTCCCCAGTCCTCGTAAGGAGACCCTGCTCTAGACCAGCCCAGGACCCTGATGTGAGCAAAGCTTTTGTCTCTCCACTCGGGGTGCACTGATAATCACTTTAATCCTACTAGTTTTCTTCTACTAATTCAAGTCACTCAGTCGTTCTTGTCATATTTGGTGATTTAAAAATCTGTGTCGGCAAGATCTAGTCGGAGTAAGAAATCGGAGAACGACAGTTTAGGGGATATTTGCAGTACTGTTAATATTAAAGAAAATACATATTAGATCATATTAAAGCAATATCTTTTCAAGGTAAAGTTTTGCAATATATTTTTACATTTACTTCAGTATTTCTACGTGCAATGTGACGCTAATTTGACGACAGACTCATTACACACAGAGATATAAGCCTTTGTTATAATGTTTATAATTGGCTCACAGCCTGTAAAATCCTCAAATAAAACCTGTCAGGAAACAAGAATATATCATCATCAAAACTATAACAAACCAAAGCTTGACATACCCCACTTTGCATGTAATGATTATATATCTGTAGTAAGTTTCACATTTTTAGTTGATAAAAAGGAAAAACAATACACTTTTGTCTCTGACTTCACATTTTCTTACTTTGACTAGCTCCTCAGACAAGGGGCACTGATTATTGTTGCAATTCGCCTAAATTTAGTTACAAATTCAACATCATCTGACCCATTGAACCTTGAACACCTACATCACTGCTGCTTCTGAACAACCTAATTCACTAATCAAGAATAATCTTCATAATAATTGTTTGGATACCACCTGATTGGCAGGAGTTGATCTGAATATAATGGGGTTGATTGGATAATTATAGTCATGTTTTTGGTGGTGGCTGGACACTTGGTGATTTGAAAAACTGACTGGTGGAAGTGGGAACAAGGGAGTTTCCTCACAATCCTCTGTGATCTGTTAATCCCAAGAGATTTAAGTATGTTCCCACATTTTATGAATCGGATATTTTGACAAAACATTGGATTTGCATGCACAATAGTGTACTTCAAAACTGTATATAAAGCTACCTTCATAATGGATCACGTGCTAATAGAACAGTAGCCAAATTAGAGAAATATTTATCTGGCATTTAAATCCTCCTACTGCTTTAATATTCACGGCTTTGCCTAATACGTTCTACTGTATATCATTAAACCCTGATTTCCATATGTGCTATTGTGCACTTTCAAAACATCACTGCGACTGCCGAATTATCAGGTCGCGGTGAAGACGTTGCTGTTTTTTTTTTGGCTTTGTTTTCGACACAAGCCTCTCAAGCCTGATTTTTGGGTGGTTTAAACCTGCACAGCCGAAATGTCAATGTATTCAGAGCGGTACAAGAGCTGGTGAGGCTGTACTGCGAGGCGACAGGTCGACCTGAGCCGCAAAGAACAGGGCACAATGACCCGCCATCTGCCGTTTAACCAAGGCTCATCAGTCTGTCCGGATCTGGCAAACACTCTGATGCTCTGCTAGCATTATTAATTTAATGTGTATATATAAATGTTTTTGGCATTTTTTGTGTGAATGACAGAAGCATCTTTGAATCGATTGTATAGTGTTCAATCATGTGCGTTTTCGATCTTTAAACACACTGGATTTTGTCATTTTTTGAGTTTTTAAATGTAGTGAAACTATTTAGGCCGGGAATCAATGGGCTGATCACCAATCTTAAAGAGAAAATCAGACGGTTCACCTCAATATGCGTTATGTCATTACAATTATGTGGAAGACATTGGCTTTTCCTATTTTGTTTTATTTTGGGTGTATCATATTACTTTACTGTGAAGTTGTAGAGAATGGATTTTTTATTTATTTTTAAGAAAATGAAATAGCTTGGCCCACATGGACTTCGCTCAAACGCTCAAAACATTCTTTTCAATAAACACGTTTATTGAGGTTTATTTAACCTCTTTACATAATTTTTCTTTTTAAAATGTTCTGCTGGCAATCGCAGATGCATTTTGATCACCAAACCCCAAAAGCTGTACATCATTTTAAAGCTTATTTTCTTATCTACATTTATATACAAGTGTAAACTACATCAGACTTTGCAATGAAAAGATTACACATAATGTGGGCACAAAATAAATCGATTCCGATTTTAACTTTTGGCTTGTGCTGCATAAATAAATCAGCTCTCCTCCCGGCTTCCTAGAGCTCTTTCTCTCTGGAACAGTCCATTTAAAAAGAATATCCACTTGTATATCCCAAAGTATAATCCATTCTGCAGAAATAATCAAAAGATTTGCATTTTTCTGTAATGAAAAAAAAAAGCACAGAGACTGTTCTTTCACTGTTCTTTTAGTGAACTTTTAGCTTTGTTTTTCACCCAAACATCTGGTATCCACATGTTCCTTAGCTCTTTATCTTTCAAATGACACCTTCCATGAAGAGCTAGGAGCTATTTTGGGTCCGCAACATCTCCCGTGATTTGGACAAGCGGCTGCGTTTTGCGCATGGGGTCACTTCACATTTGTTGTCAGTCGGCACTAGATCATATACAGAATTGGGACGAAACCGGAAGTAACAATCCTACTTTCGAATTTAGTTTTAGACTAAAAAGTCCTTAAGTGGTGACTGGTTAAGTTTTAGGCGTCTGATTAAGATGGTTAAGTTTAGGCATGAGTAGGTAGTTTGTTATTTTTACTTCTGCTTCCGTCCCGATTCCGTATATGATCTAGTGCTGACCATTTGTTGTCATTCGACTTCTTTGCATCTACTTCCTGGCCGAAAGATGTCCGTGTAGCCAATGAGGAAAGCTTTCTTGCAAGGGGTGGGACAATGGTGTTCTGTCTTAATTTGTGTCCTTAGAAGTGTGCACAATAGCAGTCAAAAGACGCTCTCAAAGCCGCAATGATTTTACAATCATGAAAATTTAACTTTGACATCTTTTTAAAAATAAATCACCATAGATTAGTGACTTATAAGTACCAATAATAAAAAAAAGTTTTTTGTGATGATGAAATGTCAGTTAAGCCTTTTGGCACAATTGCGCCAAATTCGTTCCGAATGGCACTACTTGATGAAAAGGAGAAACTGCATAAAAACTATAAAGCCTAAAAGTCTAAAACTTTAGACAGTTGTTGTCAACAACACAATCACCATAGGGTTTGAATAATGTGAACTTTTTCAGGGCAGTTAGAAATTGAAAATTTTAGGCGAGACTAAAAAAAGTTTTTTTCCCCAAACTTCAAAGGATGCAGAGTGAAATAGAAATGACAAACATTATTTTAGTGTATATTTACATAAACTAGAAGGCTCTAGCTTTAATGATGCATCACACAAGCATGTGAGATGTAAGATGTGTTTTTAAATAAGCAAAGACATTTGGGTATGCCCAACTTTTGTGCACAAGCCAAAATGAGGCGGGTGTTAAGAGGTTAAAACTTCCTTTTAAAACACTGTCCTTTAATACTCACATTTAAGTTTGTAACAGATTTATTGTTAAAACTGAGAAACAGTGAGTTTTTTATAGTGCAAATGTAATGTAATTACCATATTACATTGTAAATGGCATTACACAATATTTATATTAAAATTTGTATGTTAGCTTTGTTTTAAGGCTCATTACAGAGAAAACTTAATCACAAAGGTAAAGTAGGTAGATGGAAAAAAGCACTTTAACACAGCACCTCAGCTTAACCATCTTCAGTGTGGTCAGGTCCATGGTTATGTTGTTGTCACAGAGAAAGCAACAAACTGACCATGATTCAGTTGAAATTAACAAAACAACTTCCATAACGTGATCCATTCTTAACGACTGTCTCTGTAAAATACAGTCAAATATCCAAAAATCATCACCTACATTTGCAACTTTGTCACAACACCTGCTTTACCATCGGTACCAGGCTGAGACAGCAGCAGCACCAGCAGCAGCGCTCAAAACTTCTCTGATAGTTTCAGTAACACCATGAATGAATATGCGACATCAGTAACATCAGTCTCTTATCAATGGCAACATGATGTTGGTGACAGCGTGTCGTTTGTCTGCAGCCTGAATACAAGTTTTAACAAACTCTGCCTCATTATGCGGCTGCGATGCTAATACTATGTTGTTAGCACTCGGGTAGCTTCCCTTTACAGCGCCATCACTAACCTCTCGCTCTGGGCACAAACAGACTGCTGTTTCTTCAGGGCCAGACACATTTATCTTCTGTCTTCTCAATTCTCCGCTCAAAGTGCCGTATTTTTTGCCCAGTCTCGTATGGTGGGAGCCACTACAGACGCACTCGACTCGCTGCTGAGCTCAGCGTCACGGAGTGGTGCGGCGCGTATTTAAAAATATTTAAAATATCATTATCATTTTACACAATTGAGACGCGGGCCGCATGAATGACACCGCTGCTCTAAAGTCTGATGAGCATTTATGGTCCCTTGTTTCTATGGGCCACTCCTGGTTGAATTGTCAGCCTACATGCGTTTTGAGTGCACATTTGTACAGTGTAGTGTCAGCGCTCCTCTGTCACAGCCTCTTAACCGCGCCGTCTCCTCAGGTTTGATATAGGGCTGAGGCAGGAACAGAGCGGCTGTCACGGCGCAGTGATCAGACCCTCTTTATCTCCTCCAATAAAGCCACATCTGGGTAAACTTTAGTATGGGAACGCTTTAAATCAAGTCCTAATACGCTGCGTCTCTATTGGACCTACACCAGAAAGACAAATGGAGAAGCAAAATGTTATTACGTTTATAGAAATATTTGTGTGGCACATATTGTTTCTGTAAGATGCATTGTTAAATGTGCTCTCATCATTTTGAATTCAAAGACCACTTCTGTCACGTTTTTAAAAAATTAAAAGCGCACTTCTAAATGGATATGTGTTATTGTGTTAATAGAAGAAACCTACATAAGTCAACAGGAATGCCTAAGATAGACTGGGACTACAACTTAAGAAAACTTTAACGTTAGGTGAGAGATTTTGATAGTGAAGTTTCCCTTTAGGCGCAGAAGTGCAGTGTGAAATGGAGGCTTTCACAAAGTCTTAAACGTGAGACTGTTCTGCACTTTCCGTCTCTTTGAAC